TCTTATGTACTGTGACTAACAACTATGGTGGTGGCCGTGGTGGTGGTGGTGGTGGAGGTGGTGATGGAGGTGGTAGAGGTGGTGGTGGTGGTGGTAGTGGAGGTGGCGGTGGTGGTGGTGGTGGTGACATAGGTGGTGGAGGTGGTGGAGGTGGTGGTGTCGGTGGAGGTGGTGACGGAGGTGGTGGAGGTGGTGGGTACAGAGTGGTAGTGGTGGGGTGTGTGGATTAAATTCTATTACCTCCACTTGACAATTGAGGAAATAGACTCAGAAGGATTAATCATTTTAAAAACCCCATCTCACTAGTTGAGGCCAGAGCAAAGTTTTTTTCCCAGTGCTCTTTCTATTATAAGACATATTCAGGTAGTGATGTCATATTCCAGATATAGCTAAGGAAATGCAAAAAGTGTTGTTCTGTCCCATTTGCTTAAAGTCAGCAGATGCACAATGGCTGGAACCTTTTTTCAGGTGAGCCCTAATGGTGAAAATATTTCTTCCTGGCACCATGCAGAATTTCCAGGCAGAACCCAAATTCAGTCTATGGCTCAGAGGGAAAATGTCACATGAGAAAGTTATAGAAGCAAATGCAATGATGTAACATTGTGGAGAATTAAGACATTTGTAAGAATAAAAGAATAGAAAAAGCATGCAAAGCAAAGTAACTATAGTTCATTTTGAAGAATCGTGCAAAGATGACCTTTTTGTTTTTCTTGTGAGCAAATATTAAGAGGAATTCAATTAATGAATCTGAATGCCAGATCCACACCAGACAAAATTCAGCTGTGTTTGTTTAATTATTACATTATCTTGAGGCAAATTTGTTGAAATTCTGAATAGTAGTAACAAGAACGGTTGGGAATGGGTGAAAAAGGGTATGGGATTAAGAAGTACAAATTGCTTATTACAAAATAGTCATGCAGATGTGAGTATAGCATAGGAAGTATAGTTAATAATATTGTGATGACTATGTGTGGTGTCTGAGGGGTACTGGATTTTTTGGGGTGATCACTTTGGGTTATGTAGATGTCTAATCACTGTGTTGTACATCTGAAACTAATATAATATTGTATGTCAACTGTTATTGAAAAATAAAAAAAATTAAAAATATAATTAGATGCATAGGTAGATTAACAGAAAATGCAAGTATTTTCAAATTGTAAAGCCTGAATATAGCAAGTGTAACGCAATATCATCTGATACCAAGGAACTAGCTAATGTATACTGATTATTGCCATCCCCATTGTTTTGTGTTTTTCTTTGTTGTTGGTTACATCTTTGACAAGTTTTGATTGTGAATACATAGCTCATAAACATTTTAAAATTGCTTATCAAATCATAGACCAAAATTATATTTTTAGAATATAATTTTAGAATATCATTAAGCAGTGAACTCATTCATCATAAAACATCATGCATTGTTTGTTTTAGAGAGAATGCAGAACAGCTCATATCCTTTGCTTAAAAATAGACTTTTTCTCGAAGTAATTATCTTCTCTTTCATCCAATTTTCTCTTCTCTGGTATTCAACAAGACTTCAGTTCCAATGAGCTTTTATATTACTGTGCTGATCATGAAATTATGCCACTTTTTTTTCTGTTTGCCTCAAAGTTGTAGAATTTTAATTATATTTTTTGGTCAGAAGCATATATTTTCAGGAATAGCAAAGTCTCTATGTTTTGACTCTCAGTGATTGCTAAGAACAGGCCACTGTGACTATTAAATGCAAGAGGCAGTTAAGTGGTTAAGAACATAACATTTTGGAAACAGACTCCCTAGTTCAAATTCTGGTTCTGCTACTTGCTAGCATGTGACCTTGGCCAAGTTACTTAATATCTCTATGTCTCAGTTTTCTTACCTGCAAAATGGGGAATAATAATAATGCCTACCTCATTGGGTTATTGTGAAAATTAATTGGATTAGTATGTATTAAGGCCCTAGAACTCTGCTGGGCATGTAGTTAGTGTTAATAGGTGTTTTTATTATTATCCTGAATTCTATTACTTCCCTTTGAAATTTTAACAAAATTCAAATTAACTCACAATCTAAGAGTTTCTTTCTACTACTTTTAATATGCAGCCATGACCCAACTCTGTGCAGAGAGCCTAAAAGCATTTTCTGTAAGTTTACAGATAATGTGCTCTAAAGTTTTCTTCATCTTTTCTTTAATCTTTTATATGTTCATTTATTTATGCAATCATTCCTATTTGTTTAACACTTACTATGGTGCTTGAGTATTCAAGAAGGAACAAATAGGAAACATTCTCTGCTACTTGGAAGGTTATATTTAAGTCTCAGGGCCAGGCAATAAACAATAAGAGGGCACGTTTATTTGGAAACTCCTCGCATGATCCCCCCTCCCCTGAACATCATTTTGAAGCAAATGTCTATTTTTCTTTTCATTGGTGTATTAAACAACTTATTAATTTTTTTTTACTTTAAGAATCACTATACCTCTTTAAATAAACAATATGGTAAAATTTGGTTTTAGAAATGGATATAGAGATAATGTGCCAACTCTCATTTAATTCATTTGCTTTTTTCTCACTGATAACATTAATCTATCTTCTTACTAAAAAGTTTCATCATGACTAATTTGTGAAGTTGGGAAATTCAGCTTTAGTTGTAAGTTTACCAGAGGTTCTCAGAATGCTCACACTTAAGACTGGGAAAAGGATGCAGCTGAACAGTAATATACTAACAATATATGTTGAAAAATCAATTCCTGTTGACTGTATACAAAACAGAAATTTCTAAAAGTTCTTAATGGCACTACTTCCTATGTGGACTATGTAGGAAATGCTTTTGTCTGAATAATCATTCCTGTGGGGAAAGCCTTCAAAATAAATTCACTTTACAGAGAGAGATAGAGAATGCGTGTGTGTGTGTGTGTGTTTGCGTGTGTGTGTGTGTGTGTGTGTGTGTGTGTAGGGGAGGAGGCAGGAGATGGAGAGAATGAGAAGAGAAAGATTACTGTGGGATACTGAGTCAGACAAGCACACATGCCTAGTATAATTAGAGAACATAATCTGAAGGTAGCAACAGACCAAATTATGCATAGTACCCTGTATGCTATTGCTTGTCACCACGTTGTTTAAAATAAACTAAAAGTAACAATGGAGAGCTAATCCAAGGGTTAAAGAAAACAATGGGGGGGATGCGGGGACTAGGTTTCATTAAAGATGAAAAAAAAAACACCACTGAACACTCTAATTGTCTGGATAGTCAGGGAAGAAATAACTATCACACTCTCAATGGATTTATTTAGACAAAGTGGGATATTTCCCCTCAATTATCCTGACTTTGGCAGAAGGCACTCAGCTTCATTTTGGACTGGAGACATCTATAAAGTGAACTCCGAGTAGAGGTGAAGTGATGCATCCTTGGAGTCCTTTTTAGTGAAGTGGCTTTCAACCTGGGGCTGTTGTTGCACATGGGATATGTGTGAGGTGTGAGCATCTTTCAAAAAATAATTTCTCTGGATGCCATGCTTTTATAATTTTTTTAAAAAAGTTCTGGTGATTGTGAACTATCCCATAGTCTAGTCACACACTTCCACTTCCTATTAGCACCCACATTTTAGGAACTGTGAATAGATTGTTTCTAAAAGATCCATTAGTGTTCTAGAAGAGTCAGTTAATTTCACATAAGAACGCTTTCATCTTAATGCAAGTCTTTTTTTTTTTTTTTAAATCAAGGTTGGCCCAGACCCAGAAAGACTAGGAATCTGAACAAATGCAATTTTATATGTGAACAGTAGTAAGTAAATTAAGGAGGGAAATGAATGCTATTAGTGTGGTGGCTGGGTTGGGAAGAACTGAGATGTTTTTTGATGGTTGAGGTGTGGGGGTCAACTAACCTTGTCAGTGAGGGTCATTTCTTTAAAGAAGACACACACACACACACACACACACACACACACACACACACACCCCTTGTGAAAAGTGGCAGTCTTCCCCAGAGACATTAGGGCTATCCAGCACATAAACCACTTATTATAAGTATTCAACACTTAAAATATTAAATCCATGCCTTTAAATGTCTCCTTGGTCTGACTTCAGTTTGCATGTCAAAAAGAGTTACCTTTAAACTGATAAACTGATTTCAGGGGTGGGGTCACCTTTATAACGGCATTGGGGAGATTTTTGTTAGGGCAATATTCTAGTATGTTAACATTAGCATATTGATGTGTGTGTGTGTGTGTGTGTGTGTGTGTGTGTGTGTGTGTGTTCCTAATTTACCTGTGGCTAAAAGGATCTGTCTCAGTTCCTCTTACGGCTAAGTTCACATTAGTTAGTAAGACAGTTCCAAGAACTAGTTAGCTAAACACACGTTTTTTTCATGAGTCCTAATCTTGCCAGGTTCATACTACTTTGTTACATAGAATAAAGCAAATAAAATATCTGTAGACATTCTTTATGTTGGAGTTTAGGGTAGACGTGACTTCTCTGCTTCTGGAGACTGGAGGGTTAATGATGAGGCAAGGCTGTCAACAGCCAGAGGTGTCTCAAGTCCTGGTTTTCCTGGAGCGTCTCCATTTTTTATTCTGAATGAATGACCGGAGTGAGGATGGTAAGATCTTCCTTCTTCACTTTTCTCCTTTCAAAAACAATGTTACAGACATTCCTTTATGGTAACCTTACTTTCAGACCATTCAGGTATAGAAGCTGGTCAAGTTTGATATGATTGGTAAGGCATCTAACTATGAATATAACACACCAGTATAAAAATCTGGAAATGATCTCTTACTGTGAATTTCCCCAACAGTTGTGATACACTTTTAAAAGCCTTTTGATTTAAGAACACTTATCTGAGAAAGCCTAATTGAGAGCAATATTGCTTTGGTAAAATGTTCTGCTCAAGCTACTGCTGTTTCTTTTCAGATTTAAAAACCTGAATGCCAAATCACAATCTGTATTTAAGAGCTTCGTGTAATAATTACCTCTGTGTAATGAGCAGAAGTCCTTAAAAGGGACTGCTGTTTTCCTGCAGTCTTTTCCAGGGTGAGCAGAGCTATATCCACTGATAACCCAGCTGCCGAGGAACTGAGTAAAGCCGGCTCCAAACTTCTCAGCTGTTGACAGGCTTGACTTGCTGAGAACACTGGTTAAATATAGCACGCGCAAGCCAGCTCCTCAACAAAGTCATTGCTCTGACGGTGTTGTGAAGGGAGCAGAAGACGAGAAACCTAATCTCAGAACCCAACGACACCTAGCAACAGTTGAAAAAACTTTTAAACAAAAGTCAGGGTGGGAGATACACAACAGCCTCCAATTTCTGCTGATCGGGATTTCAGGGAGAAGAAGCTGCTTTCCTCTTCTCTCTACTCGGTTTCCTGCATGACTTCAGCTATTGGCTAGTCCTAGGAAAGAAAGTGGTTAAAGCTTTTTCCTCTGTATTCTTTTGGGCTGGATAGTTTTCCAGGACTCCAGTCTCTCTTGGGCTGTGGGACAAGCCACTGGGTTCTTCAAAGAATAAGCTACCTCCATAAAGGACATAACCTTGGTTAAACGAGCTGCCTCAGGTAAGACCAAAATAAATAACCTACTTACTCGTTTAAGAAATTTCTGCTTCCACAGGAAGAGAGTTCTCCCCAATTCTGTGTTGTCTGTTTCCTTTGATTCTTCCTGTTCCATTATGTGATAACACGCTTAGGAATTATGATAATCATTGTGAATTATTTTTAAAGAATCAGAAACATCATGTCTTTCTCAGGATTATACTGATTCCATTTTAAACACAAAGATTGTTATGATGTTTTAATAGCTATCAAAATATTTCTGCCAAGTCCATTCTTCGGCAGGTAACAAATAAGACAAAGGAGAATTTCACAGCTCCTTTTACAGTTAGGATAACTAACCAATGGAAGGGATGGATATTTTCCCTAGAAGCAAAATTACTCATTTATTGAAACTAGCTGAGTAGCTTGTGTGGTAAATGGGAGGAAAGTCCTGCATGGTGTTTGTATCGCTGTACTTTTGACTTGCTGCTATCTGCTTTTCCCTTTGCCTGAGTCTCTGATTACACTGGTACACCTTGTGCTGCATCTGACCTCGTTACATTACAGTCATCCCAATTCCTTCCAATTAGGCACAAAATATGCCTGGTAGTAAATCACTACTTTTGCAGTTGTTGAATACAAACTATTTAGGAGAATGTCATTTTGTGTGCTTTAAAAAAAAATTTAATTGCCTGTATATAGATAAAACATTCTGATTTTTAAAACTAGTATTGAATTTATTAGAAAAAATCCTTTTTTAAGTTGTATATATGTGTGTATGAGGTGTTTACTATAGTGTGAAGGAAATCTGCTTTCATCTGTTAGTGTATTGTCTCTCCTTCCATGAATTGACATGACTTTTCTCAGACTTGCTTAGAGTTATCAATTTCACATTGAATCTGACAAAAGTTATGACGGTACATTGGTGATGTAATTAGTGTTGACACTGGGTGTCTGTAGTTGGGTTGGGTTTGTATACCAAGTTTGTTACTTTAAATGAACATGATAATTTGAATGAGAACTCTAAGGATAATATCAAAGAAGATACAGATGAATATTTTCAAAGGAATTCTTTGATTTTGTCAACTTACAGAATTTACAAAGGATCAGTTTTGAACAAATAGAAATGTATCAACCCTTTCAGTAAATATTCCTATTTTAAGAAAAACTAATTAAAGCTTATGTATCATATGTTCAGGAAAACGAAATAATATATACATTTTAGTATGTATTATGTGTCATAAGTTTGATTATATGATTAGCTAATTATATATAATGAATGTATACAAGTAATAGTATAAAACGCACTCAGGTAACCTTGGGTATCAGAGAATGAAACTCCTGGTGCTTTAGCGGTGATGAAATATCTTCTTGAGTTTTGAAAAGTCAGAACTAAATGCTTTACATTTTTCTTGTTTTTATCTTAGGAAGGGTCACATTGTTGGCTTACAGATGTATGTGTAAGGCCAAAATCTACCATTAGCTCTAGGCATGTAATTTCTTTTGGAGTCAGTGGAACAGTGTATAGATAACCGAGTGCAGCATTGGCCCTGAGTGAAAGCTATGTTTCCTGATGAATTTAACTTTTGCATATCATTGTCTGTATAGCTGTAAGTTTGCCCTTGAGAATAAAAAATAGCTCAGGTTAGAGTTAGACCATGTGCTTTCCTCCAGTATATGAGCAATCAAACTCTCCATGAACCATACAGATTCTGTTCTCCTGTTCACTCAAATTCACATTTTTGTGTTATTTTGGAACCCTCCTTTCCCCCTTCTCCATAAGAGTTGTTAGATTCCGTTGCCATGTCTTCCACCACACTAAGGCTCTTCCCTTCACCCTCAGTCTGGATGTGTAACAATGCTGCCCTCCTCCTACCCCTCATTGCCATCCAAATCATTAGGAAAATGACCATGGGGTTAATTTTCCTAAAGCATTGCTATGTTTGTCTCTCTACTCCAGTTATCTTCTGAGACTTGTAGTTGCTGCCAAACACCTAGGCTGGGTATTTTGAAAACCTTCCATCATCTGGCACGTACTTAACTTTTTCCAGTCTCAGCTCCCACTGTTCAACAACAAGTGTCCGTCCCTTTGCTTCAGATTATTTCAGATTTTGGGCCATTCTCCAAACACACACAGCGCACATGTCACTGTTCCATCCCCGCCTCTTTCATTCCCCATGCCTGGAACACCTTTTATCCCCTTTCCTATAGAGACCTTGTTCACTTTTTAAAACCCAGATCAGTATCTTTCATTTTCACAGTGATTTCCCAGAACATTCCTGTTAGAAGTGATTCCTTCTTAGTTTAGGCAGTTTGGTGCTCTGTTAGAATTAGGGTACTTTGGAACAGGGTTTGCCTCTTTAAATTCAGAACAAATTTATGAAGATGATTAGGTACAAAGCACTGTCCTAAGCATCACTTGGCTTTGGAGCTTTTCAGCCCCATGTAAATTGTGGATATTCCATTAAATTTTTGGCTCCAGATTTCTGATGATGAGTACGTAAGAAAGTATAGATAAGTACAAAATCAAGAAAAGCAACCGTAAATATGGTTAATAGCTTTTTATCTTAAAATTTTTTTAAGAAAACTCTTCACAGTTTTCCCATGCACAGAAAAATTACAAGTCATTGTAACTATGCTCATGTACCTGATTATGGAGATGATTTACCTCTTGAGAATAAAATGGAAAGGGGACATATAAAGTATACATACATTACTTCTATATGCACCCAGACCTTTAAATACTATAACGCATGTACTTTTATCATCCTTTGGTACCAAATTCTATTTATAGTTACCTTTGTTACTATTCGTTTAAATTATGGCTCGTTCTATTTGTTAGTCATCATGGATTAGAATCTGGCCTTGAAAATGAAAATGTTTAAACATGATGTTATGATCCTTTTAAAATTTTTCCCTAGATATTTAAAAAAAGAGACATTTTTCAGTTGACTGTCACTCATGAAACTTGTACCCTTACTGTGTAAAAAAATATAAATCATGATTCTGAAGCAATTTCTTTCTGCGTCCATCAAGAAAAGCATTCTCTTTATATTTTAAGATGGCCAAGGAGGTTAAAATTATTCTTCTACTTGGGTGTTCAGCAAAAATCACTATGGGATTTTCCAGTGAAATTTGTGAAATATTTAATATGTTCACTTAGCAGTGGTTTCCTTGTGGTTATAATTTTTACTTATTCTTTAGAAGTAAAACTTTGTGGTAAAATACACATCCCCTGCCCCCCCCACGCCTCCCCCACCCGGAAGATGAGCATTTCTTCATAAAACAGGTACACTAAGAAATGGGATTTTACAGAGTTTATTTCATCCACATTTTCACTGATTTGTCTCATCTTATTTCTCTAAACATGTGGATTTTAGTAAAACAGCATCACAGGAAGTGAGAGGGCAAGCTTAGATTGAGATCTATTTCAGCGGAAAGGTTTAAGAGAAAAAAGATTGGCAACAACTTGTTAGAAAAATGACATTAAAAGCCTGAAACATAAGTTTGTTTATACAGTCATTATTTTTAATATATATAACAATAGCATAAAAGATATACTAATAAAATACATTTTGTTTCCTAAATCTGAGTTGAAGTTTGAAGGACTTGTTTATCGATATGAAGGAGAAGACAGGAAAGGCTAGTAGCATAGGCAAGTCAGAAGCCTGGATTCCGATTTCAGCTTAATGTGATCCAGGGCAAATCACCCTCTGTGCCTCAGTTTCCTCATCTGGAAAATAATAAGATGAGAATAATACTGTCTTCCTCATAGAGTTGTTTTGAAGATTAAATGAGTTCATAAGACTTATAGTTGTCTGGTAGACTTTTCAATAAATTTAAGTGATTATTGCTTTATTATCACACCTTAAATGTAGTTATCTGTTTATTTTCATCTTTGTTGCACACAAAATTCTTAGATGCAGATAGTCTGTGAACTCAAATTCATAGATCATAGAAAAAGCAGAAGAATGTATTGTTTAAATTTGGAATCCTCTTTGGGACATACTTTGCTGCTGGGTACTCTAGGCAGACATAGTTTGAACGCCAGCCAATAACTTAGTATGGAATTTACGTTTCAAACCCTCCCTTATCACTCAGCAGTCTGCTGTCCTATAGAATCATTACTAAAAAGGCTCAGAAATCATCCACAGCATAGACTATTCTATGGTTTCTATATTCGTACTTGGAGATAAAGTGTGCTTTATACATTGTGCTTGGGTGTCTGTTTTATAGCTGACTACACTGGGTAATGTGTGACAACAGAAACTTCTTCCTTCATGGAAGGATATATTATTAAATTTATCATTCTTTATTTCTTCCCTTAGTTGTTTTGTTTTGTTTTACTAACCTAGTAACAGATAAAAATGAAAAGACCAAAAAAGGTCATCTCATGCTAACTTTACCCTTACGAAATGGAAATGAATTCTTGCTCTTCGTTGCCCTTAATCCTATTCATTCTTCTTAAGCACGACAAGAAAGTATATTCTAAGACCAAAAAAAAAGTGTTACATCATAATAATGTGTGTGTATATTATGGGGTGAATCCTGTTCTGTATATTTAATTTAACAAAAATATATGAAAGACTTATAAGCAGGGAATGTTCTTAGAAGCTTTAGTGCCAGTAAATCTTATGCAGGGTAGTTGTGATTTAGACCTCTCCATTTTGCTTTATTTTTCTCAGTTGAAAGAATGAGTTTCTAAAAGATAAGGCAAACTGAGTTTTATGAATATCATTCGCTAATGAAAACCTTGTTGTAGAAAGAAAGATAGAATGAAAGAAGGAAGGAGGGAAGGAAGGAAGGGAAAGGAAGGAAAAGAAAGAAAGAAAATAAGAAAGAATTTTTTCCTGGCTTTACAAAATACATTATAAAGGTTCTAGGGCAAAAATATAGGAACCTTAGGAAAATATATTGGATTATGTTCTTCTTTCTCCTTAAATAGTCAGTCCTACTCTTTAGCTAGTCAGAGAAGAGAAAAGGCTGCAGGCAGAATACAACTTTTCTGTGGCAGGAGCTGAGGC